TTCTAAAAGAAAAAATGAATTTATAGTGACCTCATTTGTTTATATTTACCCCACTTGAGTGTATTCTTATTTAAATATTTGAATGCAGTTTTGCGATGTGCACATAATTCGGGTTTTTGCAAATAATTAACGAAACAATATCACTCTGTGACAGTTGTTCGAAGTAAAAAAACGCTTTCTGGTACTTGTCGACATTACCGTATGAATATGTTTGTGTTCGTGTGGAAATGTCGTTCTCCAGTTAAGAAATCTTTTCCAGAGAAATAAGATCCATCAACATCACCAGAGAACAATGGACGACCTCTTGGAATATTTGTGAAATTCGGTACGCTTTCCAAAAACTGTTTAAGAATTTAACTCCACTTGTATTTTCAAACCTTTTTTAGCGCCGCACCGCTAACAAGCGCACTGCAACCCGTCCGTTTCTATTAAATAAAAATTATTCTCGGTTTTGGCGTCACAAAAACAAATAAATAAAAAAGCGACATATTTTATTGGGCCAGTGACCAGTGTCATTGGCTGCAACAATCGCTGTTCAAACAGACGGTCATGTGTGTTCACGTGCACGACAATACTTACACTCGGAGTGTCGCAATTTGAATAAAATCGTAGTTTATCATCGTGGCCGCCCTAACGAGACCAGAGCTAATCGTGCGACGGTTTTCGGGTTTGGCAGTTAAAGAACTGAACGTTACTCTGTAGTTTATTACACGTGATAATATTAGTTGCTCCGGTGGTATTAATATTTGTACATAAATAAATATATATAGTTTCAAATAATTTATTCGCTTTTCGGGCGTACATAACGACAACGTTAATTTGAAAGAGGATTCCATAAGCTCCTACGAAATGTATCTTTGTTTTTACGCAAATTTAAAAGCTTTTAAGACAATGAGTGTTGAATAATTGAATAAATATCGGATGAAAAAAAAAATAAGAGAATAATCTGTTAGGTTAAGTCGACTGTGATGTTCTGAAGGAGTGCTTTTGTAGGTTTAAACCTTTACCAAAGCAAATTAAAGTAATTTGAATAAGTTTAATGTTTACTTGACATTAAATATCTTTAATAAGACGGAAATTTTAAGACAAACGTTTAATTGTATGATAAATATGTTTACAATGAAATGAGAAAAATCAGATCTCCATTTCTTTATTTAATTATTTTTATTACGTTACTTTTTCATTTTGTTCGGGTTTGCATTAAATACTTATCTACGTTACTGCGGCCAATCTTCAAACGTTTTTTTTTTTTTTTTGTATTTCTGTGAATCCTCCGAGTATTTTTATTCGTGTTGATATTTTTGCTTTTTTCGTAAAGTACGGTATCTTTACGATTTTCAAAAAAAGGTCGTCTACAATAAAAATATATATATAAATAAACGTTTTAATAGAAATCGTGCCATAATATACTTTTATATTAATAGAATCCGTAGCTAAAACCTACGTAAAAAATATACGCAAAATGTCTTTTTTAAACGCTTAGAGATTATAACTCTGAAAGAACTCGTACCATAAAGTGTACTCGTGCCTGTCAAAAACAATATACGTCGACTGTTTATGTATTATTTAATGAAACGATTTCGATGGGCCGAGGTGAGATAAAATATAAAAAACGATCTCGTTCCTGCGTTCAAAGCAACGCAATCAAATTCCGAAATTAATAGACTGTTTCTCGTATTATTTACAAGGTGTAAACCTGTCCGGCACCCTCCGCGGTCCGCTGTGAAAATATAAATAAATAACGGCCTGTATTTATTTCCACGCGTTCGCTTCTGTTGGAACGGTATACGATAATTACAATTTAAAAAACGCACGGACCTCCTGTATGGAAATTATGTGTTTTTGCCTACATCTGTGGTGTACGGCACTGCCGCCGGTAAGCAACAATTACCATAATATTATTGTACGGCCAAGACCGTCGTCGTCGTAAATAAACGAAACTAATTTTTTTTTTCCCAATAACAAAACTTTCCCTACGTCTATTGCGACTATTTTATTTACCGCGGTGGTCGATGGCGGCGCGTGCGCTGTTTTTGCAAAAACCATCGCCACACGGGCACCTCAACTGTTCAATGAAAACTCGTTGAGTGAAAAAAAACACGTCCGCGTCAATAAATAAATTTGAACAAGTTTAATTAAAAATACCTGCCGACCAGAAATCTCAAACGAACGATACAAACGGTCGGCCGATTAGATTGGACGGCGCGAGTACAACGTCATATTACACTGCACCACACCGTCTAATATGACAGCAGTCATATTATTCACTTCCAATGCGTCTTGTTCGTAAAATATGCTAATAAATAACCGATTCAATGTAATCACAATTACTAATTAAATACCACAACGCGTATCACGTGAGCGACGGCGAAGATCAAACGATGCCCGTTGGACCAATTTAATGGAATTTCACATTAGTTTTTCAAACGTTCCGGGTATAACAAACAATAATTCTATTACGATTCGGCTGAATAACTCAACAGATAACAATAATAAAAACTACATTTGTAACATTTCATCATAAACTTGTTTCAACAAATAAAAAACTGTCGGGTAAATTTAAGTTTACATTTTTCACTAACCAGTTGAGGATTACTATTAATAATCTTAACGGTTTTAAAACGTAAAACTTTTGTTTTATACAATAATTTCATATCTGTACACTGATATGAACTGAAAACAAAAACTGATTTTTTTCTTATTAAGTTAGTCATTTATCCGTCTAAAAAAATAAAAAACTATTAAATAAATAAAAACTGGTACATGACATTGTTACTTGCAATGTTTCAACATTACATAAGTAGGGACGCCAGCAGAAAAATATGCCGGTAGGTGTAAAACTAATAGGGTCGGTATGAGGGCGTGTTGTATAGAGTTTTATGCAAAATTTGTAATTTTAGTACCAGGAACTACTCATAAGAAATATCGTCTCAACGAATAATGTCGGTGGCCACCTGGAATTTTTCTAGCGAGACGACGCTGGACGATTTTTCGAGACACCCGGGGACGTACGATCGCATACATTAGTCCTTATAAATTCCTGGTACTAGATTTTGACGTTTTTCACAAAATACCGAAACCGAGTTAAACAATGATACCTCACGAATTCCTACGAATTTTCATCTTGGACACGGTGTCCAAGTCGTGGCTAGCCGTGTCGATCATGAGTCGCGGCCTAATAGTTATGGACCTCAGATCTCAGCACGATGTCATTTGTGGCTGTCGTCGTGATGTTCTGCTATAGATGCCGTGTAGTGGCGCGTTGTGACGATTCTTGCAGAGTGGCTTAGCCCCCAAACGCGCATTGGACGACAGACTAATGCAGATCAAGTAGTAACAACACTACTGCGACGTTACCCGTCCGGATATATAATTTGGATTTTACAAAAAAAAATGCCAAGCGTGTCCAAGTAATGGTTTTGTTATGATGAAAATAACTATGTGTTACAATTTGAAAGTGGTTGTCATTTTTCTTTTCTTTTTTTGTGATGCGCATGTATAGTAAAAAAAAGTATGCGTATATATCTAACTATAAATTATAGTTGGTCTATAATATGTAAGTATGACCGCAAGTTATATAATCGGTTTACGTTAACACCGTTATTATAAGTCAATTTTTTAATGAATTATTTTTGATTTTTTGCCCGGAGCATACCTTTTGTCTGATGTTGAGATTAGCTTTGGGGGCTCAGCCAATCAAATATGTTTATCTAAATCGAAATTCTATTTGTATTGTTATATTAAACGTGTAAGTTCCGCTGGTCACTTCTACTCCTCTAAAAATTTTACCGAATGACCGCATATTAAGTAACAGGTTTGTAGTTTAGTAATTATTATTCATTCTGTGTATTTGTTTTTAATTTTAATATGATATCGTTATATTTTATCTTTTTATTTTAGTGTTATTTTGTTTTCATTTTAACACACAAATGTTTTTAGCTATAATAATAATAAGTACAAGTAAATAATTCGTATTGCAATTGGAGGCAGAGAAAATTGTAATATTTGTAAAATATCACTCGTGTTGTCTACAAGAGTTTTTTTCTTTTCTAGTGCTGCTAAAAAGGATCTGTTTATGAAAAACGTTCATGGTAAATGTGTGAACCACTACGCCGGCGTATATTTACTAATTTGTACTATTCCAGCGGATTTCACATTTTATAGCTTAAAGAGGAATATTTACAGAATACCAATTTGAAACGCCATAAAAAGTATTGGTGATAATTGACGAGCGTTATAATATTTTCAGAACATACGGTGGTCATGAGCATAATGTAATAAAAAAAAGTTCTATGTACACTACCAACATATTTCCATTACACGAAGCGTACCACTTGTGTGCAGTTTATTAGCAGTTTCAGTCGCTCAACATAAAGCCAATGTAATAAGAATATTCCCTAATAATATATGCAAATATTCTGCAGTTATTTCTTTTACTAATGGTAGTTAACATTGATAAAAGTACGCAGAATATACATAGATATTAATCATTCTTCGAGTCCTAGACTCGGTAATTATGGGAAACCGGTCATCCTAATCCTCTCCTCTCCTATTGAATAATATTACAATTAATTTCTTTTCGTCTACTAATCTCTCTAAAATCTATTAAATCACATAAATCACTCCAGTGTTTATGCATACATATTTATTTTATTTTTTACTTTTAATTTATTCTTTTACATTTATTCTAACCAAAAATTGTTTACTTTCCTTGTGTAAAAAATACAGTACTATTTGCGAACCTACTCACATTTCCGAATCAAATTATTATTCTCAAATAAATCTTCGCCTCTTTATTTTTGTATTTTTAACTACAGTTCGAAATATTGCAACTCGAAACATATTTAAGATTCGGTAGTTTTCACTGAACATTCAACATCAGCTGCTATTAGAAGTACACTTAAATTTATATTTTGCTGATTTGGTCGATTATTAAGACGATTCAAACAATATTAGTAATTTTTAGAGAAACGCATTAATAACAAAAGCTTTATTTTTACCTAAAAGGAACATTCGTCTGAACTAGGGAAATCAGCTAATTCCCAGTCACTGAATTCTGTATCGTCTTCATTTTCCGCATTACAAACTTTTGCCGGATCTGTTGTTTGATTTGCAATAGTTGACCTCTGTGCCGTATGTTCTTGAAAAACATCTACGCATAATTCTTTGGCGTTTTCTTTTTTATTATTTCCTGTGTCAACAGGGTCCTATAAATTAAAAGAAAAATTAAATCCAGAATTTCATTATTTACTCTAATCAGGAGCGGACCGTTAGAGTAGTTATGTGCCGATCTCCACCCGAGACCTTACGAAATAACTCTAAAAAAACGAAATAACGGCAAATACATATGCCGCATGCTACACAAAGAAAAAGTTTAAAAAGCGTCAAGAAAAGAAGGCAAGGAAAAAGTCTTGGAGTCGCTAAAGAAAGCATTTTTTGAAGTTTATCTAATTGTACCTTCATACAATATCGTACATTCATATTACTAGAATCAGTTATGAACTGATTTTAGTAGTTAATTTAAATAGTAAAAATCCGTAAATCTTTTACACTACTGTGTTTGTTATTATTTCAGAAGCAATAACATTTTTTCCAATCTAATTTCACGGCGTTGTACATTAAATTGTCACCTGCATTGTTAGTCAACCGACAAATATAAACATACCAACTATAGGAATTTATTCCAAGTACATATTTGATTTCCTTTGAATTTTATAAAAGTAAAACGAAATAGAAAATAATAATAATAATAGTTTTTTTAATTCTAAACGACTCAACGACGATTATTTTACTAAATGGCAATACAAAAAAAAATCTATTACGTGACTTGACGGGACATTGTCGTTTTCAGCAAATTTCAACGATTTTCCATTTTCCTGTTTGAAATTCGATTTTATCGGGTCTGTTAATGATTCCATTGATTGATCATATCGGTTCTTGTCAAAGTCATTGTAATCACTAGGCCTCACGGAACTGTGCGAGTAAGTGGTTGCCGATTCATCCACGTAATTAACAGTACTCGAATTGGTTCCCGACTTCAAATCGACAGGTGATACGCTAAACTGTAACGAGTCAATTGAAATATTACAAAGTGGACGCGACTTTGCACGGGTTGAAATTATGTCACCTGTAGAAATAAGTCTACAGTGTCTTTTACAGTGTTGACCAAGTGACGGATGGTTCGATCTTGTTGTTTAAGAGTTGCTTTGTAGTAAGATTCCTTGGACGGTGTTTGTGGCCTGACCAAAGAATAATTGTCGTAATTGGTGTTTGCGTCTCCGCAACTCGAAAACTCTCTGACGACATTAAACTAGCGAACAGAGCGCGTTGTAAAAAGTTATCACAAAGCATAAAAATGTTGCACGCAATGTGTGTTCGTTTACCTCTTGACCGTGTGCCCAAAAAGTCATTCGCCCTTCGTTCGTAAGCGCCGCCAAGAGTTCTTCTAAAAACATATCGGCCGTCTCTAATTGTTGTCTATACGCTTCGTTTAACATGAACTGTTGGCTGATCACGTCCATCGCTTTGACCAAGTCTTTCTCGACTTTCAACAAACGTTGTTCGAAGTTTCCGTTTTCACTTTTCAAATCGCTAATCTAAAAAGTCAAATAAAAAACCTAGCGAGTCGTCTATTGGTAGTGTTAAAAGTGCCATTACTTTTTTGAAATAGCATTTCTCTAGCGCTACATAATTCGATGGCGCCTTACACGCGCAGCATATTTCCAAAGGCCATTGTTTTATGTAATTCGACCTGGCTACATTCATTATGAAACTAGTTGGAGATATTGAGCGTTTTCCGGAAAATTCAACAGGCGTTTCTAACTGCACTTGAGAACTTGCCCGTTCAGGATCCGTCTGCAATGAAATAATGTCGCAGTTTAAGTTGCTCTATTGAAAATTTTATTTTAAAAAAAGTATTTATTTTCGTGAAACTATTGTATATTTTTTCAACGTATAAGAAACAGGCGAAATATCAACATTGGAACACAATAGAAATATTTAATTTGATTAATAAAAATATTATTTTTAATTCTACCTGAATAATATTATATTGTAAGTCGGAGCGGAAAAAAAGTTTTAAATATTAATTACTTATATATTACGCAAAAAATGTATGAATTATACTAATAAGTAGCAAAAGTTTTCATGTTCTTGAATTCAGCTGTATTATTTCACTGTTAATGAATTATAAAGAAAAAGATAATCGACATTATATAGTAATTTTCAATGGATTAATTATTTTTGGAAATAAATTGTTTTTCTGAAGTGGAGTAGAATAAATTAATTTTTCATGAATAATATTAATTAAAAAACAATATATATATATATTATGAAACAATCTATAATGAATAGTCTTTTATTGTACAATATTTCTAGAGATAATTTTTTCTCGGTATTTTTAGAGTTTTCTTGTATATATTTAGTAGTAATAAACGTTCCAATTTTGTGAAGATTAAATTTTTTGTACAATTCTTTACACCAAAGAAGATTCACGTACCTTTTTTTTTTCAAAAATGTCCATAAGGTTTTTCAATGTTAAATATTTTTTTACAAATAACAGAAAATAATAATTAAATTTAATTTAAATATCTAATTAATGTATTGTATTAATTATAGTATCGATGAAAATAATACAATTCAATAGAAAACACTTACCATTAATAATAATTACAGGAAAACACAATAAAAATTATTGAAAGGAACATCAATTTATTTAGCCATGTGCTGTTTTAAATAGTTATCTAGAAAATAAACTGCAAAATACTAAATGTAGACAATGTTTAAAATAAAGTAACGCAAAGTTAGGTTTCTATAAAACAATAACCAACAAAATAGAAAGGATTTTACATACTGCGTATTCATAAGTAATTAGTATAAAAACAATGACTTTTATGTTATTTCGTTAAAAAATCGAGATGCCATAGATTTAGTAACTCATCGATGATCGTCGAATGAAACGCCTCTTTTTATTTCTTTGTTTGAACTCTTACCATTATTTATAGAAAAATAACACTATACCGATTTCTTTTTTTTTTCATTCAAATTATGTCTTAATAAATAATAAAATATGCATTTTTAAATTTACTCGCTACAAACTAAACAATATATTTAAGACAATGTTATTCTTTATTGTTTTACAATTATTATTGTTGATCAGTTTTAGAAAAAAAAAAAACGAAAATATAACATTTATTTTCATGTATTACAAATACAATAATTGGAAAAAACACAATACATTTGAATTAAATTTACAATAACGTTCAAAACGAACAACAACAAATTCGTTATTGCTAAATTGTAAATATTATCATAGACTTCACTACAGCAAATGTTAACCGGATGATCTAAAAATCCAATTGTCAGAGTGGCTATCCGAATTGGTAACGCGTAACACGTTAGTGTCTAATTGATAGAAACGTTTTGTAGGCGAAAGAGTTTCGGGGCTTATCATAATAACAGAAATAACGAGATATCACGTAGCCCTTGGAATTATTATGATGTTTATGGATAGCGACGAACAGATATATGTAAAGTAACGTTAAGTCAGGTATGTAATTAAAAGAGAAGAAATTAAAAATAAGTATAACGTGTACACCAATAACACGAGAATCATTCGGTATGTCGGCGGACCTCGTTTTATGAGTGTAGTGTGTTTGCGGACAAGTTGTTTTCCATGTGTAATAATACTTTAGTGAAACGTTTAATTAACGAGTCACGCGAGCCAAGTATAAAAGAAACGGAGGAGCGCCTCCTGAGAAATTGATTATGTGTGCGGTGTGGGACATTTAAAATGCCTCACCTCGTTCGATTATCACTAATATTGTGTATAATGGCAATTAAAACTGTTGTTGTGGCGCACGGGACGGATGCTCGTACATAGGTGTGCACAGCCGTTCGCAGAGGACGCCGAACAATAACACCGCCAAGGAAATACGGGGCGCGCAACAACAGTGTGTGGAAATGAACAACACGAGGACAGAAGTTAATGACTCGTCCAATGGGATTGGCGGCGACTCATTCGTCGAACGGGATCCACCAGAATATTTTGACGGAAATCTGGAACGATCATGAACGTGCGCGCAATGTGTTAAAACAGTGGTTTTTGCCAACGCGCCAATAATCTCGGACGGGCATCGTGGACACTTTCTGCGCGTTTCCAGTGCACACTACACGATAAACGGGACGCAGTCGTTTAGAAAAAATGAGTACGCGCGCAGCATTCCAGTGCAAAATTAAACGCCGTGAATTTTATTTTGTTTAATAGGCAAACTCCCTGTGAACAACTCGCCGCTAGTGTTCACTTCGGGGGGTCTATTTTTGGGCTGATCGTGTTTTGATATACTAAAATATTTGATGACGCCAATTGAAAATCGCATTTTTTTTTTTTATCAGTCTAATCGTACACTGTCTCATCTAATGTCATTTTTAACCAATAATTTTTAGGGCGATATGTTAAATTATATTGGCTGTACAAACATTTATCCAACTAAAAGGTCGCAGAGTACAAATTAAATGAGTCGTCTGATTGGACTGAATAATTGCGTATTCGCCGAGATAAATTCATTTAGTGCTAAAGCAATTTGAATGAGTTTTAATGATCGGTAGTAACGTTATATTTAAACTTTACTCCTAAGGGCTAAACAATTCCTTACACGAGTTTAAACGGCGACCGTAACGCAATAATATTTTAATAATTATAGTGTTGCATAGGGTTTACCTGGTTGTTAATTTTAATTTAAGAAAACTAATTATAAAAATTAACCTGACCGTTTAACAAAAAGAGAGACGCTTTACTGTGAAACCGACTGAGGTCGACAAAATGGACGATTGATGGCCCAAAACAGGCATTTTCTTGGATATTGTCAGGTGTTGTGTGTGTGGGTAAATTGTAATGGTATTAAAACCAGTGGCTTTAACGTTAAAAGTTTGCTTATAGACAGCGAGGGATGCGAATGTGGTTGTCTGTAAAAAAAAGGCAGTGCTGACGATGGCGAAAAAGGTGATGTCAGTTGAACGTGATAACAAATTATCACTAATAATAAATCCAGACGTTTCTAAAAGATCAAACAAACTGTAAAAAAAATACCGCAGTAGGTATCGGATTGGCGATTAATAAT